ACATTTACATGGCAGTATGAAAGAAAAGACTGTAATTGTGTACGGGTTTTTGCTTTGCTGCTGACATGCATTTGTCAAGTATTTTTGAAGGATTTAAAGTTTAAACAAATAGTTAAGTTTAGTTTTTTGTTGTTCCTCATATGTTCCTCTATACAACACAAAAGGAATGCAGTGTGAATGGATGGTAAATGCATCTCAGATGAACCTGCAAGTCATTTTACCAAAAAGCATGATGCATGTGACTGGCTTCTGAGTTTGATGCTCATGCATGCTAACCATAAGTGGAAAGCCACCAGTCCCTTACTACTACATATTAATTTAAGGCAGGGGCAGAATAGAGGGAACATCTTCTAATGGGGATACTTGCTCTGGTGATAACTAAGACAGGGGTAGGCAACCTTCAGCACTCCAGCTGTGGTAAAACAACAAATCCGAAGAGGCAATGCAAGACAGCCACGGGCATGGCTCCCAGAAGCAGATGCATGATGGAATTTGTAGTTACTCCACAGATGGAGTGTAAAGGTTGCCTACTCCTTCTCTAAGATAGACCCTGTCATTTCATGATGTGTCTATGGAGCATGAAGTGAAGGTAATTATCTCCAATGGATGGCAAAAGCACAGTATTTTAATAATTCCCTACTTTACCATTAACTAAAAAACATTTTGGATTTTGGGTTCAAATATTAAAACATAGACTAACAGACCTGAGGTGTGCCTTGGTCCGCGTGGACGTGGATATATTTATATATACACACACACTTTACACTTATTATTGGCATCTCTTCCAGCCATGGCCTCTCAATAAGGCACCTTGGTTTGTCACAGAATCCCTTTAATGGAACTTTAACTTTGGCTCTTATTTACATTTTTGCTTTTGTATTTATTTGAGCAACAGTGATATCCAGGGTACATTAACCCCTAGCACCTGGCAAACCTTGCTTTAGTTTTGGATAGGGTGGTGAAGGGTTAGACCTTCTGTCAGGTTTAAATTGTTAGTTGGAGATTCATCCTACTATTTGTACTGGTAACAGTTGTCACCGAGAAAGAAAGTGAGGGGAAATCCAAAATCTTAGAGTTGCCCCAGAACAAGGGGTTCCAATAGGAACACCTGTTTCGGGAACAACTGTCTTAGAGGGGAATTCCCCTCACTTTGGGAGATTCTCTAAGTTCCTGTTGTGTCTCTGGGACTAGAAATGAAAGGAAACTTACCCAATGATATACAGACAGCAAAAAGATAGCCTGGCAGTAGCCTGACTCTTCCCTACTCTATCCAAAACGAAAAAAGTTTGGGCTATAGCTACGCCTTAATGTAGTAATATTATGTGAAAAATCACAAGCCAAACACGGGATAGCCAGGTGTGATGAGCCAACGCTGTAAAAAATAATCAGTGTAGCTGAACAGCAAATAATCAAGGCGCCATGTTGGATCAAACCATGTAGTTCATATAGCTCCATGGAAAGAACAATGTACAAGATTAGTGAAACATCACACATGCAGCTCAATCAGATACTTAGCTATATACCAGCATTTTCTTGACTTGTCCCAGACAGGTAACAGCCCAGATAGCAAGGGTAACTTGCTACAAACTTGTGGCAGGGTGAAATTGTAATTTTGTTAACTTGCTGCACATATTCCTGGCAAGTTGTAGACTTGCAGAACACTTGCAGCACCAGTTCTAGTTGACACTTTTTGAATTTGTAGCAAATTTGCTTGGCAAGTCTACAGCAAGAGTCCTGCAGGTCTCAGCAAGAGCTCTGCAAGCTCGCTGGTCTGGAGACTCGCAATGCAGACAGACTTGCTGTAATTGTGCAACAAAATTGTGAAGCTTGGCAAGTCTGCAATAGTTTAGCAAGTCATTTTCAAACTTGCAGCTCAATTGCTTGCTATCTGGGAGGTAAGTGTGGCAGGTTAAAAACCTTAGACTAGTGTTGGTCTAAGTGTGGAACCAAAACGAAATTGCCAGATCGTCCTGCAGAACACACGCCAGCTCCACGCTGGTCTTCCCTAAACATTGTGCTTTCCATGGAGCTATATGAACGACACAGTTTGATCCAACATGGCGCCTTGATTGATTGCTGTTCAGCTACACGAATTATATTTTACAGCGTTGGCTCATCGCACCTGGCTATCACGCGTTTGGCTTGTGATGCACTTTATACTTCCTTGGAGCTATATGTACCATACAGTCTGATCCAACTTGGAACATTGATTGTTTGCTGTTCAGCCACATTGAGTACACTCCAAAGTGTAACATCTTGCAGCGTTAATTTCACTGCACCTGGATACCTCTATTCATCACACCTGGCTACCTCAAGTCTGACTTAAAAGAAAAACTGGTATTTTGTTTGTATGGATACATTCATACTGACTTGTTCATATGAATACTTTCTATGTGGCATTGCCATCTGCAGTGGATTATCCTACGGTCATCACAGAATATGGATTTTTCCCCTGCTTTTTCTAATTGTGATGTCACTATTAGTGATATGAGATTACTATTTCTATAGCTTGAATATCAAGTTGTATTTGGTTTATCCTTCTGTCACGTATGATCTTTTCCATATGTGGTCTAGCCAGATCCTCCAGTAACTGGTTTGTGTTCAATAAGGTATAGACAAATTAGCAGGACACATGCATAACATTTTAACTTATATGTTTGTATTGTTTTTTTTTTAATTATTAAATATTTTAAAAAGTTTGTTTGACTGATTCCGAAGGAGTACATCCCTATGGGGGTTATCTTCTTATTTTCTATACATTATTTGGGTTTAATACCCCTTGCAAATTATTCTGATTAGATTTTTGAAGCATTTGTAAATTTTGGGAGCTTTGACCACTTTGGTTTGCCCTACATGGGGACCCCTATCATATATATTTTTTCAAAATAATGAAATACTTGATATCACTGGAACATTTTACTATCTGCTTGTGTGTTCCTATGTGATATTTTTTTACATGAGAAACTCGGTTTCAACAGTTTCCTTCATTATAGAGATCTGTCAGTAGGGTTATGTGTTGCATGACTTATAGTTTTCTTAGGGCAAATCTGTTGGTAAATGAGTAATTGTTACTGCAAACAGAGGAATTTAGAGCACATTAATAGAACATTAGGAAGCGTTATTTATGGTAATGGAGTGTGAAAGCATGCTTTAATTCTGGATATTCTGGAATCAACCGGTTTCAGGTGGCAATAACTGCAGTTTTATTTTTCTTTTGTCAGTTAAACATGGCTGTATGTGCTCTTGCTACAAATAGAAAGATGCATATTCATTAGTAATGATGCATTTGGCACATTTTTATTTATAGCTGCTCACAAACTTTCCCTATTAACTGATTGCCACTTGTAACAACCGCCTTGCATTACACAGCATTGCACAGGTTGTCTTGCTATAGGCATACGAGGGGTTAAACAAATTATTGGCAAATTTGCAGGAGATCATTTGCTAACGTATTATGTTCATTCTACACTGGAAATGGGAAGCGAAAATAATTTCACATTTAATGCAATATAAATACTACTTTAGAAACTCGGGAAATACATTCAATAAAGAGAACAGAAAAAATACTCTTTTCAGGCTCTGCAGAATTTCTTCTGCCTTGTATTTGATGCTGTGTGTGAGTGTGCTTTTTAATTTACACCAGCCCAGTTTATATCCTGTAGAGAAAAGATTTTTGTCAGTTATGTTTTTATATTCTCTGTGAAATGAAGCATACAGCTGTCAAAATGTTATGCACTCTACCCAGTACTTCATGGCTTGGCACAGTCATAATTCAGTAGAATTCCACCTCAGAACTCAGTTTTTTTAAAGCTACCTGATTATTTATTCTGTCCATTTTTTAGGACATTTTACATGACACAACTGCTGCTAACATTTAAAAAAAAAAGACATAAAAATTGAAATAATACTCAAGTGACTTAAGTATATGTAACGTAGTAAGGTTGATTTACTTTTCACTTAGTAAAGTGAATGTTCATTTTGCAAAATGAATGTTTGTAAATGAGGTGAACCTGATTTTACGTTAAATACCCAATCAGGTTCTAGTAAAAATCCTGTTTTCTTTTTTAATGTCCCTTGCACATGATGATGACTTTGTAAGGTGAACATATACTTGCCAAAGTGAGCATTTACTAAGGGAACAGCCACTACTCCTTTGGTAAATCAACACTAGGCATGGATGCCAACAGTCTGGGATTTGCCAGGACAGTCCTTTATTTCTGTCCTCGTCCCAATAATGCTGTTTTGCGGGTTGTGTCCTGAGATCACAGCATAGCCCTTGTTTCAGTTACGGAGCATGCACGGTAGTTAAAAAAAAAAAAAGTTATTAGCTATTGGGATTGGTTCCTGCATGGTTCTTGCATTATTAGATAAAGAGAACACACAGAAAGTGGATGTGATCTGGGTGGGACTACCTTAAATGTGGGTATGATCTGGGCATAACAAGTGTGGGCCGTGAGCAGGGGTGACAGTGTCCCGGGACTGGGAAAAAGATGTTGGAAAGTATGCACTATGTGCAATATATTTATATTTGAAGAATAACACCTCCCAACTTTTTGAAATGTGAAGAGAAAATGTTTAATGTAGTATACCACCGCTGTTATTTATTTAATACATTTTATTAGAGATCTATGCATCAGATTAAAAAGAGGGGCAACTGAGGAGGTAAAAGGTACAGAGGGGGTTGGTTCCAAAAGAGGCACAGTCCCACCAAATGAGGTATACAGTAGTTGGAAACTATGGAATAATTATGTCATCACCTATATTGAGAATAGCGATGTCAGCTATGTAAAATATAACATGTATTTGGAGAATATACTGTTACTTTGAGAATAGTGGTATCATATGATATGCCTTGCTTAATAATACACCTTAAATGGTTTTAAAGCTTTAAGAATGGGTGAAATTAGGTGAAACCTAAAGAATCACCAAGCAATTTATTAATTACTGATTGATGTTTGTGTATTGACAAATGCCAAATTACTAATTTTACTGATATATAGGATGTAGCAGTGGCCCCTGGATCAGTTTCCAATGGAGAAGGTGCCATAAATGATGAAGAGCAGAATGAAGAAGAACAAAAGGGTGGATTTGTAAAGTTTGGATGGATAAAAGGTGTACTGGTAAGCCTGTACATTGAAAAAAATACATTGCCTAGCAACATGAAAGATATCATTTACTGCATGTAATATTCAAGAGTTATGTGCTCCTATTCACACAACATACCTAAAAATAATAATAATTAAAAAAAAATTATATATATATATATATATTTCTTACATTTTAGATGTCTCTATGTAGCTGAACTTTGCAAACTTCTCTTTCAATTTCAGGAATAGCAAACTTTGACTCTCCCTTTAGAAAGTCTAGGGACACAATGAACTTTCTCTCATTAACATACAATGCTTCTAGATCTGTAACCCCTTGTTAGGACAGACTGTATTCACATCTAGTTTAGAATTGATATTCAGATCTTCCAGCACATTACAGACAGGGTTAATTGTGTTAACATTAAATTCCCCATACCCATAGCATTCCTGAGAGAGTCAGTACAGAGAATAACTTTTCTTTCAGAACTGAGAATGTTTCAATTAATTAATTTAATTACATTTTTTAAGTTATGCAATGTGAATGAGAAACTTGTATCAAATATGAAATAGCTGTTTTGCCAAATTTGTCTACAAAAGTGTAAATACACTTTAGCAAGAGTTTTGGTTCAACTAAACATGAAAGAATAAAGAAAAAAGTATCCAATGGACCAGAATTTCAGAATGGTAAGGTCCCCTAAATTTTTATATGCAGACTTTTGACTTTGCCCAACCCATAATACTTACTAATAAACAAAACATATATTCAGTGATTTCAGGTACATCTGATCAATAATGGAAACAGTTAAACAGCTAATCAAAAGGCTGCAATTTAATATATAAAGCATGCAGACATGGATAGGAGGTTTTTTTGGTTGTGTGACCACATTTAGGACTGGGGAGGATGTGTCACCTAAGCAGTTTTGACTGTTGAAGGGTTGTAAGTGCTAAACCTGGTGTTTACAAGCTCTTTCAAACTGCTCCCCTCCTGGCATTTTAATTCACTACAGTATGTTGAGTTTACAGAGAAGGGAGCGAAAAGCAAAACTGTGTTTGAAGCACTTTGTTATTGGGAGAGGTAACAGGAGAATGGCCAGGCTTGTTAAAGCTGGCAGGAAGTTCCAACTTCTCAAACAACCATATTTAACCACGGTACTGCTCAGAAGGACATTGCTGAAAACACAACATACTGACCCTTGAAGAGTATACTTCAGCAGAAAATGTGCCAGATTTAATTGTTGTTTCAACTAAGAACAGAAAATTGAGGTTACAGTAGTATTGGCAACCCCAAAACTGGATGAATATGGACTGGAAACATTTCCTAGTCTGATAAACGTCAACGTCTACTGTAACATGCAGATGGTAAGGTCTAAAGACTCACGGTATGAATCCATGGAAGCATCCTACCTACCGTAAATACGGTAATTCAGGCTGGACATGCGGGAACTGCATATTAGACTTTAGTCTCTCAGCACTGACCAAAAGAATTTAAGTTATTCTGGGGGCAAAAGGGTGCCCTACCTGGTACAAGATAGACACCTAAAAAAGTGGCCATTGTATGTGGTTTGCAGAGCTTCATAGTGGCTAAACTTAAGTTTCTTCTCAAAAGGAATTAAAATGTTTTCTTTCTCCACACTTAAAACCATTTTCCATGTACTTTTTTCACAGGTCAGATGCATGTTAAACATATGGGGTGTGATGCTTTTTATTCGCCTCTCATGGATTGTAGGTCAAGCTGGAATCGGTGAGTATTATTATTTCCCACGTTTATATAGCACTGATGCATTATTCAGGTCTTCTAAATCCTATGACATAAAATGCTGTTCTCCAAAGTGTGTAGTGTAGAATGTTCTCCAAAATTTAGAATCTAATTCTCCTGTCAAACGTATACACATATTAAAGCTAATTTAGGAGGAAGCCAGTTAAACTACCATATTGTGGAAACCTGGGGGAACATTGAAAGAAAATACAAGTTCAATGTACATAGCATCCTTGGTAGAATTCAAACCCAGAATCCATGGCTGCAAGGCAGCCTCCCATTTCAGATTCTTTTAAAATGGGGCCATTCCTCATGCAGAGAAATTGGTTCACTACTGTAAAAATTGTTCATAAATCTGATATTATTTATAATGATGGTTACATTTTTTCTATTATTATTAGGCTTATATAGTTCCAAAACATTTTTTACTGCCTTAAAGGAGAACTATGAGGTGAGTGATTTACACTCATCCTCATAGTTCGAGCCGACGTGTGACAATGAAACTGTCACACGTTGGCTTAATAGATCGGCAAGTGAGAGAACGCATACTGTCGCTCGCTCACTTCTCGATCATGTCCCTGCAGAGAGCAGTGACTGTCACTCACGGCTCCCTACAGGGATTCCCCCCCTCCTCTGTCCGATCCTCCAGTGCTGACTGGCGGAATGGAGGGGGCAGGTACAGCTGGCTCTGCCTCTCGATAGGCAGAGCCAGCTGTCACTTACCCACTTGGTTGGATCTCGACAGTAATGTTGAGATCCGTCCCGGCTGCGGCGGTCTCAGTATACCGCGTGCTGTAGCTCGTGATATACTGAGCTTTGGGTCATGGGAGGACGCTAGTTTATCTCCTCCCGTGATCCTTAGGAGAGCTATGGGGAAAAACACTTACCCCATAGTTCTCCTTTAAAAGATAAGTTGTTTGTATTATTTTTCACTGCTCAGTCACCTAACTCCCACAGTGTGTGTTGCTTTTTACCCCATGCTTTTGTGTGATGTAGAAACTGAGATACAGACTTAGACAGTTCACGCCTCTTCATTCCCGACCACAATCTGCAAAAGAGGCAGCCTCTAGATTGACAGCTCTTATCTCACTGTGTTTCAAGAAAACGTTTCCATCCAGCTCCATCAATTTCTTCCACCATTATAGTCAAAATCAATCATTAATTTGGCCCCATTATCTCTGCAAAACAATTTTGTTTACCTCACATACCCTGCTTTAGGCAGATTGTGCTAACTGTTGTGGGGTAGCACACAAAATGATTTAATGCCTGTCAAGATAAGCCACCAGCACACTCCCACTAATGTGCATATCAGTCTGCCTGAAGCTGGCTACACACTTAACAAGTTGAACAAAATGAAGCAGCCAAACTTTGCTCTGTGGGTGGCCCTGTCTGCCGCCTCCCGCTTGACATTCTTCCACTCAAAAATCATAAGAGCCGGGTGGAGAATTGTCAGCATCCAGTCAGATGCAGGCACTGGTCAGGTAGTTTGATAGCTGGTAGGATCTACTGTCAGAATACAATAGCTTTGGAAAAAAAAATATTTTTTTGTCATGTAGGTGCATGAAATTTATGGCTCATTTACACCAGGATTGATCAGCATTGATCAAAGCAGGGGCACATAAAAAACAATTGTTCTTTATGGGCCCTGTTCACACCATGCATGCGCATTGGTGTTGTGTTGCATAAGAATGCAGCATGTTTGCATTTGTACACAGTGCCATGCACATAACCACATGTCAACGTACTGAAGGGCATCACAACAAGCTGCATTGTATAAAGTTCAATTACTTTTTTTTGTTATTTTAAAGAAAGCAAACAGTGTGATGTGTCATGACAACTCATTGAAATTGCCCTACACAGCGCACACCAGTGTTAAGGACCTGTTTCCACCACCCCACCTGCATTATGCTCCATATAACACGTGCAAGCTAGTGTAAATGGGTCCTTAATTTTGCAGCTAAGTTGGCTAAAAAGAGCATTCTCCTTTTGTAGCTGTTTTAAAACAAAAAACAAAGAATAACACATACATACACTTATTGAATTATGGGTGTTCTTGTGTCAGTAATACTCCTTGACTAATTACAAAAAAAGCTTACAGGCTATTAGGGTTTAACGGAGGATACAGTCTGTGGAAGAGCTTACAATCTATTAGGGATATATATATATATATATAGCA